CCATAGGGAGCTCCACCGAAGGCCCCAGTGGCTGCGCTCGCATGCGGTTCCACCCCCAATTCTGGCACACCCCTCACACGTTTCGTGGCCCCATAGGGAGCTCCACCGAAGGCCACAGTGGCTGCGCTCGCATGCGGTTCCACCCCTGATTCTGGCACACCCCTCACACGTTTCGTGGCCCCACAGGGAGCTCCACCGAAGGCCCCAGTGGCTGCGCTCGCATGCGGTTCCACCCCCAATTTCGGCACACCCCTCACACGTGTCGTGGCCCCATAGGCGGCGCCGCCCCATTTCGGCACACCCCTCATACGTTTCGTGGCCCCATTGGGGGCTCCACCTAAGGTCCCCGTGGCGCAGTGCGCATGGCGCCGCCGCCCCATTTTGGCACACCCCTCACACGTTCCGTGGCCCCACAGGGAGCTCCATCTCAGGTCCAAGTGGCGCAACTCGCATGGCGCCGCCGCCCCATTTTGGCACACCCCTCACACGTTTCGTGGTCCCATAGGGAGGGAGGAGGAGGAGGAGGAGGAGGAGGAGGAGGAGGAGGAGGAGGAGGAGGAGCCCCCACGATATCCACCATTGCGGTATTCACAACTACGTATGGTTGGGTCTTTCGTCAGGCTAATTTCCAAAATTTGCATGATATTCACGGATTGAGGGCGGGTGGTGTTCAAAATGTGGTTCTCGCCGTAGCGCCGCGCGCATTCTTCAACATTTGCATGAGCTTCACGGATTGAGGGCGGTTAGTTTTCAACATGCGGTTCTCGATTTAGTGCCGTGCACATTCGTTTTTTTCCCCAAAAATTTGCATGACATTCACGGATTGAGGGCGGGTGGTGTTCAACATGTGGTTCTCGTCTTAGGGCCGCGCACACTCGTCTTTAGAAAACTACATGTTTCACGGATTCCCATGACCAGCATACCAAACATCGAATTTTGGGAAAGACTTCGGATTAGGAGGGAGCAGCAGTTACGTTGATTCGCTGTGTTGAAGTGTCAGGAATGGCATTCTGGCACGGTTCAAGATCGCCAAGACGCAAAAGTCAGGTTGATCCGTGGCGTTGGAATCCCGAGAACATTGTTTTGGCACGCTTCAGTATCTTCGAACGGTTGTCTTCCAACGAGGTAGTTCCCTCAGTGGAAATGAACCGTTGTAGGGGCCTCTGAAGGGGGAGCTTGGAGGGAGGGTTTATTCCCACATCGTTGATGACTCTTGGGTTTCCACTGGTCCTTCTCCTCCTCCTCGTCCTGCTCTTTGTTCCTCCGCGAGTCGCACCGCAGGCGCCCCTCTTCTTCCTCCCCTCCCCCTATCCCCCTCATCCCCATCCCCTACCTTTCTCTCATCTACTGGCCAGCTGTTCAACAAGAAGACAAGGGAAATACCTGCCAGTAAAGGCTTGATATATGCTTGAAAAGGCGACCTGGCCGGTTCATCAACAAGAAGACGAGGAATAGACCGTCCAGTACAGGCTTACACAAAAATGCGGCCCTCCGTTTTTCTTCTCCCCCCTCACCTTCCCCTTCCTCCCCTTCTTCCCCTCGCCTTCCTCCCCCCTCCCCCTTCTTCCCTCCCTCTCCTTTCCCCTCCTCCCTCGCGCCTCCGCCCTCGCGGCATTGCTGCCAGGTGCGCGGGGGCGTTGCTCGCCTCCACCCTCGCGGCCTGCGCCGCCGCGCCCCTGCTGCTCCGCGTGCCCGCCCCCGCCTCGCTGCCCGCCTCGGCCGAGGCGCCGCGCACCCCGCGGCGGCCGAGCGGCAGCCGGCGGCCGGCGGCGGCGGCCGGGCGGCCAGCGGCGGCGGCGATGGCGGCGGCGGCTGGCAGGGATGGGCAGGGGGGGAGGACGGAGGAGGACGATGAGGAGGGAGGAGGAGGAGGAGGAGGAGGAACCGGAGGAGGAGGCGGACGAGGAGGAGGAGGAAGAAAAGGATGAGGAGGAGGAGGTTCTCGAGGCCGGGGGAATGTGTACTCCCTCGTCGTTTTGATATGGTTTTCATCTAGTGGAACGCTTCTTCATCTTTAAACTTTGATGTGTTTTGTAATTTTTCTGTTCGCCGTGATCCCCTCGTAATATTCTTCTCTCGTTATATCGCTATCTCGTGTTCTCTCTCTCTCTCTCTCTTTCTTTGTCTCTCTGTCTATCTCCTGCACCAGGCCAACGCATGTCGATGCGATACCAACCCGTTGCCAACCAATGCCAATGCCAATGAAATGTGAATGGGGGAATCGTTTCGCTCGGTGGATTTTAATAAGAATCCTTTGTGGACGGTGTCATTACGAATCCTTCTTCGGAGGATTTTAATAGGAATGCCTCTGTGGAGGATTTCGATAGGGATCCTCCTGTGGAGGGTTTCGCTAGGAATCATTATTGTGGGGGGTTCAGTAGGAGTCCGTATGTGGAGGGAGCCATTAGGATTCGCCAGCGCAATGCCGAAGCAGTGCCATCGGAAGGCCACACCAATGCCAAGGCGATTCCAATCCAATGCCAATGCAATGTCACTGGGGGGAATACTTTGTCATATATTCCAAAAGAATTTTTACTTGTGGAGGGTTTCAATAGGAATCGTTCTGCGAAGGGAGGCATTAGGACTCGCCAGCGCAATGCCCAAGCAGTGCCAACTCCATGCCAAACCATCGCCAAGGCGATCCAAACTTAATGCCGATGCAACTCCAATGAGGTGGATTGCTTGTGGTAGCGTTCAATAGCAATCCTTCTGAGAACCCTTCTGTGGATGATGTCATCCACAAAGGAATCCTTCTAAGGACCCTTTCTTCGGAGGATTTCAAAAGGAATCCTTCTGTGGAGGGGTTCGCATGGAACCCTTCTGTGGAGGATTGCAATGTGAATTCTTATTGTAGGGGGGCCCTTAGGCATCATTCTTGTGGACGCAGTCAATCAGAATCCTTCTGTGGAGCGTTCGGTTGGGACTCGCCAGCGCAATGCCATCGCAATGCAAACGCACTGCCAACGTACTGCCACCGCATTGCCAGCGCAATGCCAATGCGATGTCAAGCCGTTACCAAACCAATGCCAATGCAATGAGGATGGCATGATTCCAGTCTTTCAGCATATTCCAACGGAAATCCTTAGGTGGAGGATTTGGTTACGGATCCTTCTTCGGAGGATGTCGATCGGAATCTTCTTGTGCAGGGTTTCGATCGGAGTCTTCCTGTGGAGGGTTTCACCATGAACCCTTCGTGTGGGGGACCCTTCGTGTGGAAGGTTTCAATAGGAATCCTTCCATGGTGGGAGGCATTCGAAGGCGACAGTGCAATGCTAAAGCAGTGCCAACGCAATGCCAAACCAATGCTATGGCAATGCAAACCCAATGTCAATGAAATGGCTGGGGGAAATCGTTTGTGGTCGGTTTCAATGGGGTTCCTTCGGTGGAGGGTTTCGAATGGAATTCTGTTTTGCAGGGGTTCAATATGAACCCTTCTTGTGGAACGTTTCAATCGGAATCCTTGTAGTGTGGGGTGTAATAGAAATCATTCTGCGAAGGGGGGTATTGGAACTCGCCAGCGCAATGCCAAAGCAGTGCCACAGCAATGCAAAACCAATGTCAAGGCGATCCCAACCCAATGTCACTGCAATGCCACTGGGGGAAAGCATGTGTGCTATAGTTCAGTCGGGATCCTTCTGTGGAGGGCTTCGCATGTAATCCTTCTGCGTAGGGTTTCAATAAGAACCCTTTTTCGTGGAAGGTGTCAATAGGAGCCCTTCTGGTAGAGGGTTTCAATGTGAGTCCTCTTTTGTGGAGCATTCCATTAGGACCCGCCAGCGCAATGCTTGCGACACGCAAGCGCAATGCCAACGCACTGCCAAGCGCTATGCCAACGCAGTGCCAATGCGATACCAAACCATGACCAAACCAATGCCAATTCAATGCCAACTGGAGTATTTTTTTCGAAGCAAATCAATAGCAAAAATCTTGATTCTGGGGGAAGGCGGAGGCGGAGGGCGGGGGAGAGAGGAAGGAGGGAGCGGAGCAGCGCGGAGGAGGAGCAGGACACCCCCCCTCAAAAAGAAAGAACGAATAACCACGCAAAAAAACGGGAGCCGCGCCGCGTTTGTTGTTCTGTTGTTTTTGGAGGGGGGGGAGGTGCAGGAGAAGCAAGCAGCTAGATTCTGGGGCAAGGAGGGGGAGGAGGGACCGGAGCAGTGCGGAGGAGGAGGAGGAGCCCCCCCCCCTAACAAAAAACGGAAGGCCGCTCCGCGTTTTTTTTTGTTTTGAGGGTGGGGGCATGCGAAGCAAAAAGCGAGATTCTGTGGGAAAGAGGAGGGGAAGGAGGAGGAAAAAGAGAGAGAAGGAGGAAAAGGAGGAGCAAGAGAAATGGGAGGAAAGAGGAAGAGAATGAGGAGAATGAGCAGAAGAAAGGTGAGGATTAATGCCTGAAAACTAGTCGAACCATTAGTGAAAACACTCTTCGAAAAAGGCGAGGGACTCCGCAATCCCCCGTTCTCGAGGAGAAGGAGTACGAGGAGGACGGGGAGGACGAGGAGGACGAGGAGGAGGATGAGGAGGATGGAGGAGGAGGAGTACGAGGAGGAGGAGGATCAGGAGGAGGAGGAGGAGGAGGAGGAGGAGGAGGACGACGAGGACGAGGACGAGGACGAGGAGGAGGAGGAGGAGGAGGAGGAGGAGGCGTTCTGGGCTCTCCCAGGTGGGGGGGTCTTGTGCGTACATACTTCAGAGCGCCGTGTGCGCACGAGCACTGGCAACGATCACCAGACTTCTCGCCATTCCTTTGCCTCCGCAACCCTCTTGGCTCACGCAATGGGCACCAGGCCGCGCGGCCACGGAGGGGCGGCGGCGCAGGGCGGCGGCGGCACCGTGCTCCCGGGGCCCAAGACCCCAGCCTGGGGCTGCCGCTGTGGCGAAGCGGCCAATTGGGCATCGCGGCTCCACTGCAGGAGCTGCGGGGGCCCCGCGCCTGTCTCCGTTCGGCAGCGGGCAGTGGAGGCGGCGGCAGGCCCGTCCCCGTCCGCGGCGCGGCCGCCCAGGGCAGTGGCGCCCAAGGCCAAGGCGGGCGCCAAGGCCAGTGCCGAGGCGGAGCCCAAGCAGTCGGCGGCGGCCGCGGAGGCGCCCTGGGTGCACGGCGGCGGCAAGCCTCGGCGGGTGCGTTTCCGCGAGGCGGAGGTCGTCGAGATCAAGGAGGACGACGAGGCCGACCAGCTGGCAGCAGCGCTGCGGCTGCTGGAGGAGCGCGGAGTCCAGCTTGATGAGGAGGCGCAGAAGAAGCTGGGAGTCGGCAGGCAGGCCGACCCAAGCAAGGCAGGCCCAGAGGCGCCCAAGTCGCACCACGCCACGGTGCAGAGCGCCATGTGGAAGGTCAAGAACACGGCGGGCAAGCTCGAGAGGTCTCAGCAGAACCTGGAGGCCGCACAGGAGGCGTTGGCGGACGCCCAGCTGGCGGTGGACAAGGCCGCGGAGGCCGAGGAGGCCGCAGCCAAGGCCCACGCCCAGGCGCAGGACCTGCTCGAGCGCGCCAGGAGGGTGGAGCAGGCGGGCCTCCCGCCTGAGGCACAGCTCGACCAGCGCGCGCAGGACGTCGACAGGCTGGCCCAAGCCACCCTCGGAGCGAGGTACGCCGCCGAGCTCAAGGACCATTTCGAGGGCGAGGAGGCCGTCCAGGTTACCCAGGCCATCGAGCTCTTCTCAAAGCTCGCCGCCGCGAGCAAGGCCCGCATCGAGGCGGCCAAGCGGGCGGCGGAGGCCCCACCCTCTGGGGCGCCTGCTGCTGCTGCTCCTGCTGGGCGCCCTCCCGACAGCGAGGGCGGGTCACCAGCAGCCGCGGGAGGGGACGCAATGCAGGAGGAGGGCGACGACTTCGACGCCAGAGTGGAGGCCCTCGATGGGGCCAAACGAGCCGAGGTCGAGCGCTTCCTCGAGTCGCACGGCTGCTCCTTGCCCAAGCGCCTGCGCCTCCCAGCGGGCTCCGCTGCAGGCAAAGGCGCGGCCGAGGCAGCAGAGAAGAGCGAGGACCAGGCCCACTGAGGCGCCCGAGGGCGCGGAGGCGGCAGCTGCGAACCGCAGGGCCAGGGCGCCCCGCGAGGGCTCACTCTGGAGGCTGGTCTCTGCCAACACGACCTCCAGGGCGAGCATGCGACGCTGGCTGCAGGAAGAGGCGCAGGGCGACATCCTCTTCGTGCAGGAGACGGGCGTGGCGCCAGGAGCGAGGGCGGAGGTCGAGCAGGCCGTCCGACGGGACGGATGGAAGGCCTCCTTCACAGAGGCCCGCCGCACGGAGCGAGGGGGGCTTTCCAGCGGGGTCGGCATCGTGTGCAGGGCCCACCTGGGCATGGGCAAGCCGCCTGCGGGGCCCTCGCTGCCCCCCGACAGGATGGTGGCCCGCTGGGTGAACGCCATCGTCCCAGGAGGATTCCTGGCGGTCTCGGTCTATCTGGTGGCGGCCACCAGCGGCCTGGACCCCGAGAGCAGGGTGCTGCTCGCGCAGCTGGGACAGTACCTCGAGGCGGTGCAGGCCCCGTACATCATCGGCGGCGACTGGAACTGCGCGCCGCAGGAGCTCGAAAGATGGGGCTGGCCAGATCGAGTCTCGGGCTTCGTGGCGAGCTCGGGGCAGACCACCTGCAGAATAGGAGGAGGCACAGAGATCGACTTCTTCGTGGTCTCCAGCAACATGGGCGCAGCCGTGAAGAAGGTCTCGCGTCTGGACGCAGCCCTGAGCCCGCACTACCCAGTGCAGCTGACGCTGGACGGCAAAAAGGAGCCGGAGAGAGCGCTGCGGCATCGGGCGCCAAGGCCCTTCCCAACCGAGCGACCTGTGGGGCCGAGGCGGGAGCCGCCGTGCTGGACAGGCTTGCTTTCGGAGCTGGCGGACGCCATCGCGGCGATCGTACCCGGCGGCGCCGCAGGCAGCCAGGGCCCGTCAGAGGATGGCCCCGAGCCTGCCAGGGAGGCCGACGACGCCGCCCCAGGAGGGGCTCCCGAGAACGTCGGGGCCGCCGTGCTGGACGAGCCCTTCGACCAGGGAGGCGGCGAGAGGCGCGATCCTGGGGGGCCAGTCCCGTTGGGAGCGGCCCCCCAGGATCCAAGTCCTGGGACTGGCAGTTGGGGGCAGCCTGCGATAAATTGCCCTGCTCGGGAGGCGAACTCCGACGGCCATCAGACATTGCCGAGCGGTCTAGGGCCACCCGTCCTGCTGCCACCGTCAGCGTCGGCCGAGGCGTTGCGAGGAGTTCGCGCGTGCTACGACGAGGACTGGACAGCGGTCGTCCACTCCTTGAAGGGCGACGTGCTGGACTTGCCCCCGTGCGCCGCCACGGAGAGCGAGACTGAGCCTGCAGGGCAGGTCAGCGGCGCAGGCCAGAGGCACTCGGACGAGGAGGCGGTTGAGTGCGTGGCCAAGGTCGAGCGGCTAGACCCTGCTGCGGGGCTCGAGGTCGGCCAGGGGGGAGACGACGCGAGGCGCCCAGCGGCTGGCGGAGATCGGTCTCGGCATGAGGGCGCTGGGGCGAGGCAGTCACAGCAGTTGAGGTCTGGCGAGGCCCCGCGGGCCACGGGCAGCCGGCCTCGGACTCTGGGCGAGCTCTACGCCAGCTTCGCGGCGCTGCTGGAGGAGGACTTGGGCGGCCTCTTCGACATGGAGCAGGAGGACCTGACGAAGTGCGCGGGCCGCGGCGAGTCCGCCCGCTTCCAGGAGGGCACCATCAGCGCCAGCAGGCGGGGGACACGCGCCCGCGGCTCCCCGCAGGCGCGCACCTGGCACAGGATCGCGGCGCTGCTGTGGGAGATGCTGGCCAGCAGGCGCCGCTTGCGGGCGCCGCACCTCGTCTCGAGGGAGCTGGACGTGCTGGCGCGGCTGCAGGCCAAGATAGGCAAGCTGGCTGCGCAGGACCTGGTCGGCGACATCGGCCTTAATGAGGCCCAGAAGAGGGACAGGCAGAGGGACGTGGCGCGGCAGCTGCGGGCGACGAGCCACATGACTTACGGACAGCTGAAGCCCCTGGAGGCCTACGCCAGGCAGGCCGCCAAGGCCTTCGACTTGAGGGATGCCAAGGGCCGCGCCAAGGCCTGGAGGGAGTGGTCCCAGGAGGCGGTGCGCGGGGGCGCGGGGGCCGCCCACGGCTTTTGCAGGGCCCCGCGGGGCTGGACGGCGGACGTGGAAACCAGTGGACGGCCTGCAGGCATCGCTGGTACTTTGGAGGCGCCGAAGAAGGAGTACCAGCAGGTATGGCGGCACCAGGAAGAGGACTTCGACCTGGAGGCGATGCTCCCCGACGAGCTCCTGGACGGGGCCCCTGGCCCGCCCGCGCCCGACGCCATCCGAGCGGCGGCAAGGTCTTTCAAGGCCGAGACGGCGACGGGGGTGGACAGCCTCAAGCCGCACCACTTCGGCTGGCTCTCCGACCGCGGCATCCTCGCGCTCAGCCTGCTTTTCCACCTAATCGAGCTGCGGACGGATTTCCCGTCGCAGGTGGCGGAGGTCTTCATTTTCTTTTTGGCCAAGCCCGATGGGGGCTGGCGACCCATCGGCCTGATCGCCTCCCTGATCCGCCTGCAGGGCAAGATCAGGCACGACGAGGCGAAGCGCTGGGAGGCCGCCAAGGACAGACCCTACTTCTTTGGCGGGGCTGGTAGGTCCTGCGAGGACGCGGTCTGGCTGCAGAGCTTCGACGCGGACCACGCGAAGGCGCTGAACTTGGAGGCCGCTTCCGCGCTCCTGGACCTCAGCAAGGCCTACGAGAGGGTCACGCACAGGGGGATGGTCCACGCCGCGGTGATGGAGGGCTTCCCGCTGAGGAGGGTAAAGATTCTCCTTCGCCTCTACGGGGGCAGGAGGCGCCTCTGCCTGGACCGCTGGATGACGGAGGCTTTCCAGGTTTTCCTGTCACTGCTGGCGGGTTGCTCCTTCGCCACGACGCTGCTCCGCGTGGTGCTGGTCGAGCCTTTGGACGCGATGCTGGCGGCCTGGCAGAGGGTGCGTCCATGCTTAGTGGTCGACGACATCACGGTGGCGGTCTACGCCAAGCGAGCGCAGCTGGAGCACCTTTTGGTCGGGGCCACCCGCGCCCTCTGCTTGGACCTGGAGGCCATCGGCTTCATCATTTCCTTGACGAAGGGCCAGGTGCTGTGCACCGACTCCGACATCGCCAAGCGGGTCGCCCACAGGCTCAGACGATGGAGGTTCACACATGTGAAGGCCACGAAGAACCTCGGCGTGGACTTCACTATGGCGAGATCGGCCTCGTGGAGGGTGCTGCGGCAGAGGATCGATCGCCTGAGCCAGAGGGCTGGGCGGTACAGGGCCTTGCGCAAGGCGGGGGCCAAGAGGCTCTCCAAGGTTTTCAGGACAGGAGGGCTGGCGTCCATCCTCCACGGAGCAAGGGTCAGTGGGGTACCCACGAAGACCCTGCAGCGCGCCCGAGCAATCAACGGCAGGGCCATCTCGGGCGAGATCGGCCAGAGGTCCAGGACGGTCGTCTTCGCGCTGCAGGAGGGCAAGGACTGGAAGCACGACCCCGCCTACGCGGCGCACGTTCTACCGCTGAGGGCTTGGGCGCGAGCCGTCTTCCTGGGCGCGCGGCCCCCTGCGGTCTTCAAGCAGGTGCTGGAGCGCAGACCAGGCGACTGGGGCGAGGTCACTGGGCCAGCAGGGGCGGTCCGCCTCTCGCTGGAGCGCATCGGCTGGGAGCTGCTGAATTGGCACTGCTGGAGGGACGACCGCGGGCAGATCATCGACTTGCAGCTGCTCAGCCCGCGGATGGTAGCCAGCCTGGTCGAGAATGGGGTCCACCGTCACCTCATGCTGAAGATTGCGTGCCACGAGGGCTTCGAACATCTCCAGGGCCGCCCGCCGAGCCTGGAGCCGTTTAGGGCGGCATTGGCGGGCATGCGGCGTGCAGGCAAGTTGCAGGAGGCAGCGCTGGTAGAGGCACATATGGCAGGAGGGCTCGTCACGCAGTCCGACCTGTACGTTGAGAGGGCAGAGCTCAGCCCGCTGTGCCAGTGGTGCGGAGAAGCACCAGGCACGGCGCACCACAGGCTGTTCGCATGCCCCGCCATCGCCTGCTGGGCGCGCGACCTGGGTTTCCAGGAGATCGCCGACGCAGGCAGGAGGGCGCCGCAGGACGACCTGGGCCTGGTCAGGGGCCTCGTCAACCTCGGGCTGGACCAAGCCCCGCCTCCTGGCATGGACGAACTCTGCCATCGCGCAGGCCACGCGCGTCACGGCCTCCTCGAAGGTGTCATCTGCATCGACGGGTCCGCGATGTACCCCGAGGCCCAGTGCCTGACGCGCACGGGTTGGGCAGCTGTGGCGGTAGACGACGTCGGGAACACCGTCGGCGGCCTCCTCGGGCTCACGCCAGGCTGGATCCAGGAGATCGGCTATGCTGAGCTCTACGCGCTGCGCAGGGTTTTGGAGGAGGTCGGCCCATCGCCCATCACGGTCTACACGGACTGCAAGGGGATCAAAGACGACTTCGAGGCGGGCCGTGAACGCTGCTGCGGCCCAGGCCACAAGTATGCGGACCTGTGGAGACGGATCTGGCAGCGGCTCGACGACCTCGGCCCTGGCTTCCTCACGTTGACGTGGCTGCCGTCGCACACTTCGTGGGCCAGGGCCTGTGTGGCAGGCGTGCCATGGCAGGCATACGCGGGCAACAGGGAGGCAGACCTGAGGGCGAAGGAGGGCGCCAGGCTCCACCCCAGGCAGGAGCAGCTGAGTGAGTTGAGCCGCCGCCTGGACGCCGCCGCCGTGCAAGCAGTGGCCTGGTGCGGCCACCGCGGGGGGATCCTGAAAAGGCTCGCCGACCTCGGATGGCCTGACCGCGGGGCCCCCCCTAGGCCCAGAGGCTCGGATCCTGGGACCCTGACCCTGGTTGGGCCCGACAGGGGCCACGTCCTGGCCAGGCTTGGTCGTGCCTGGGGCTGTTCGGTCTGCGGGATCCGTCGTGCGGCCAGGGCCAGGGTTGTCGCCAGCGCGTGTCCAGGACTCCCGTGGTTGGTCGCCAGGTCCCACCCGTCCCACAGGCTCTGGGTGGTTCGGGGTGGGGACGGGCCGTGTCGGAGATCCTTTGGGACGGGTGGCTGCATCGTGTTTTGTCGAACATGCGGGGCCCACGGGAGTCGCCAAGCAAAGTTCCTGGCCGATCCCTGCGTCCCGCTGGCCAGCAAGGGCCGCGACGCGGCTCGCCTGGCTCGCCGCGCCCTCGAGCGCCTCAGAGCGGGGCGGGAACCCCAGACTGGCTGCCGCTGGGGAGCGGCCCCGTTCCCAGTCTCGAGGGCGGCGGCGAGGAGGGTTTAATTTTGGTTTTGATCGGACTCCAAGGGGCCCCCGCGCCAGGTCTCTTGCCTGGCGGGTCCTGGGTCTGCCGTGGAGTGTTTTGATCCCCGTTTGGGGCCGAGGCTGGTTTGCAGAGCGGACCGCCTTCTGGTAGGAACTAGAGGAACTAGAGGAGGAGGAGGAGGGGGGGGGGCATAGGGAGTAGGAGAGGAAGCGGTGGAGGAGGAGGAGGAGGAGGAGGAGGACGTGCGGCCAGTGGCGCGGCGATGGTGGCGGCGGTTGGCAGGGAGGGCCAGGGAGGGCCAGGGAGGGAGGGTGGAGGACGAGAGGGAGGAGGGGGAGGACCAGTGTTAACCCAGAGTTCAACAACAACATTGCAACACACCCTCCTTGCAAGCTCCCTCTTCATGGGCCGCTGCACGGATGCAGTGTCATTGAGGGATGTGTTTTGTGGAAATCGACCGCTTGAAAATCCAGAATTGTACCCGAATTCTGTTTCTGGGGCACCAACCCCGCGAATCACCGTTACTGTTGCGTCTTGACGATTCTGAATCGTGCCAGAACAGCACTCCTGGAACCTCAACACCTCGGATCAACGTGATTGTTGCGCCCTGACATTCCGACATCGTACACAAAAAACAGTTCTGGGACGTTAAACATGAGAACCTGTGAAACTGTTGCGAACTCGTATGAAGAATGTGCGCGGCGCTAAGGCGAGAGCCACACGATGAAAAAAGGGGCCCCTCCATCCGTGAAATCGTTGCAACCTTTTAACACGAATGTGCGCGGCGCTAATGCGAGAGCATCTTTTGAACAGTGGCCGCCCTCCATTCGTGAAGCTGTTACGAACGTTTAAGACACATGTGCGTGGCGCTGAGGCGAGCACCACAGTTTGAAAACTTGCCGCCCTCCACCTGCGAGAATCACCCAAATTTTAAGACGATTGCACGCGGCGCTAAGGCCAGAGCCACATTTTGACAACGGATCGCCCTCCACCCGTGAATATTTGGCATTTGTTCCGACGCATGTGCACAGCGGAAGGCGAGAATCACAGATGGAAAAAGGGCCGCCATACATCCGTGAAATGGTTGCAAATGTTTCAAACGAATGCGCGCGGCGCTGAGGCGAGAGCCACATTTTGAAACGGGCCGCCCTCCATCAGTGAAACCCTTCCAAACTTGCAAGAATAATGCACGCAGCGCTAAGGCGAGAGCCTCAGTTTAAAAGCGGACCGCCTCCACCCGTGAACTTGTTGCAAATTTTTCCGACGAATGCGTGCGGCGTTAAGGCGAGAGCCACATTCTGAAAACGGACCACCCTGAATCCATGAAGCGCTTGCAATTTTTAAGCTTCAGGATCACAAATGGTGAAGAAGTCTTAGGCGGAACGCCCGGCACGCCCTTTCGATTGGCTTCGCGGTGCGATAGGGAGTTGT